GCGTACCTGCATTCTGTGTGGCGCCATTTTGAACGAGTCACATGATCTATTCGTGAGGACGCCACAAGTCGGTGTATCGGTGTCGATGTGAGCGCGCTCGCGTTCAATCGTACGACCGATAGCAACTGGTCGGCGATCATTGCTGAATTCGATCTGAGTGCAATCTACGATAGTCGCGTCGCAAGGTCGATCTGAGCCGGGCTTAATGCGTTTGAGATGATTGTACTGAAAACAGAAATGAAGTGAAATGGGGTTTAACGTCCTACTGTTTTCCTCCGATTGGGCTAATGAAGGCGGACATACGCCATACAGTGTGCTATGAGGGGCATTTTGCCCGGACAGCGGCACTATGACCTACTCTTATATCGAATTCCAACTGCCAGACGATCTTTTACGAGCACGTCAATGTATACACGGATCCTCGGTATGGCGTATGCCCGTCTTCATTAGCCCAGTATAGGAGCAGAACAGTAGGACGTTTTACCCCATTTCATTCTTTCATTCATTGCCAAATAGCAGGTTACAAATAGCTAAACTTTTAACGAAACAGAACTTACGAGCAACAGAAATTTCTCCAATTTAAGTCTTTCCTCCGCAATATCTTCAAAGTAATATACGAAAAGATTCAATTGTTTTAGATATATCCCAATAGTTGTTTATTTTAGCAACGTATTATTTAATTGCTTTTGAAACGTTTTGAAGTATTCTGTTTCAATTAATATTGAATGAGTGTCTGCAAATCAAATCAAATGAAATCCTCAGTTACCCCACAGCGGTGTTTAAGATGCTCATTATAGCTATGTAAATGTTTAGGTCGCGAAAAGATCGCTTAAATTCTTTCCAAATACGAGAATTTTGGCAGAAATGACGGAAGCAACTATACGGTCAGTCTCATTGACGTTTCTTTGGAGAGTCAATGTACTTAACCTAGAAAATTCAGGTTATTTAGAAAGTTTTAATTTGTTTCGTGAATTTGTCGTTTTAAAACTTAATTAAATCTTCTACTCCCTATTCTTGTTCATTAGATCCGGTTCCGACACCTGTTCTTTAAACTGTTTAGACGAAGTTATTCCTGTGTAGACTCACACACACACACTCTCTCACACACACAGGGGGTATGATCAGTGGTATCGGATCACAGTTTGCTAAACAAAAACGACCCAAGTGCGAATTAAATATTTATTTGATTAGCAGAAAGTTATTAAATTTATAAAAGCCGCGGTAGGCCATTGATTAAGACACTGGATCGCTAACCAAGAGATCTGCTTTTTTTTAATAGACCTTCCCGTAGGTAATATCGCTCGGGTAACTTACCCGTCTGAACATTTTGACCTACCGATAGGCAATATCCTTCCACTTGCTTACCCGACTGAGCCTTTAGACCTACCTGTAGGTAATATCCCTCGAGTAAAGTACCCAACTGAGTGTCTAGACCTACCCTTTAGCAGTATTCTTTGCGTAACTTGGCTTCAATATCCCTCAAGGTATTGATGATTGGATGTGCGAATGGTTAGCACGTGCGCGCTATATCACAACTTCTGTCAGAGAGTCAACTCGCGTGGTTTTGATTCCCAGGTTGTACGTGACTAGGAGTAGAGTCGCCTGTCCAGCCTCGTGGGTTTTCTCCGTGTCCTCAGCATTCCCCCCCCCCCCACTGCTAAAGACCCCTACGGACAGGCAAATTATTAAAAAATAATTGAACCACCTGTTAGTCCCGAAATGACCTAGTTTATGTTGAGTGGACGTTACCCCCCCCCCCCCACACACACACACTGCTAAAGACCTCTACGCACAAAATGAAATGAAATGGGGTTTAACGTCCTACTGTTCTGCTCCTAACCTGGGCTAATGAAGACGGGCATATGCCATACAGTGTGCTATGAGGAAAATTTTGCCCGGGCAGCGGCGCTACGGCCTACTCTTATATCGAATTCCAACTGCCAAGGGATCTTTTACGTGCACGCCAATGTGTACACAGGACCTCGGTTTTTCGTCTCATCCGAACGACTAGACAGCTGTCCTTGTCAGGCCCTCCATCCTGCATCACCCTACGCACAGGCGAATTATTATCCCGCGCCGAACGAAGTTAGGGAGGGATATTGAAATGGGATTCGTCCGTCCGTCCGTCCGTCCGTCCGATTTCGTTTCCGGAGCATATCTCATAAACCGTTCAAGATATCTTTCTGAAACTTTGCACACACATCAACCTATTACAGTAGTTGTGCCTTTTGCTATTTAGGAATTTCTGGGATTTATATTTTTTGTGTTTCCATGGAAACAAATTTGACTTAGTTTTTGGTGTATAATTTTGTTTCCGGAGCATATCTCATAAACTGTTCTAGATATCTTTCTGAAACTTTGCACACACATCAACCTATTACAGTAGTTGTGCCTTTTGCTATTTAGGAATTTCTGGGATTTATATTTTTTGTGTTTCCATGGAAACAAATTTGACTTAGTTTTTGGTGTATAATTTTGTTTCCGGAGCATATCTCATAAACCGTTCAAGATATCTTTCTGACACTTTGCACACACATCAACCTATTACAGTAGTTGTGCCTTTTGCCATTTAGGAATTTCTGGGATTGATATTTTGTGTGTTTCCATGGAAACAAAAATGACTTAGTTTTTGGTGTACAATTTTGTTTCCGGAGCATATCTCATAAACCTTTCAAGATATCTTTCTGAAACTTTGCACACACATCAACCTATTACAGTAGTTGTGCCTTTTGCTATTTAGGAATTTCTGGGATTTATATTTTTTGTGTTTCCATGGAAACAAATTTGACTTAGTTTTTGGTGTACAATTTTGTTTCCAGAGCATATCTCATAAACCGTTCAAAATATCTTTCTGAAACTTTGCACACACATCAACCCATTACAGTAGTTGTGCCTTTTGCTATTTAGGAATTTCTGGGATTGATATTTTGTGTGTTTCCATGGAAACTAATTTTACTTAGTTTTTGGTGTAAAATTTTGTTTATGGAGCATATCTCATAAATCGTTCAAAATATCGTCATGGCACTTATTTTGAATTTCTCAGATTTGAACATTTTATGTGTTTCCATGGAAACACATTTGACTGTTCAAGATACCTTTAAAATAATTTTACACATTATTTTATTTTCTGAAATCCAGCCTTCCGTCCTGATTTTGTTTCTGGAGCATATTTTATTATCTGTTCAAGAAATCTTTTTGAAACTTTGTACAAACATTAACCTATTATAATATTTTATTTTCTGATGTATAAGTTTATTGTTTAACATACAGCAGCTAATTGAGGTAGGCAAAGGTTGTTGTGCAAACCTTTCAGGGAGTAGCGACCCTGCCTTGCCGAACTACTGTGATCAGAGTATAAAATTCTGTGAATTGATATTCCATGTGTCGGAATATGAGATTTGTCTAAAGCTGTCTAAAACAAGTTATTTTCAGTATTTCTTCCAAACAAGTGCAAGGGCGCGCGATGTTGATGACTAGTTATTTTGTTGAAATTAAATTGAACCTAATGATATAGTCGACGTTAAACCCCATTTCACTGTGCCCTTTTCAGTAAACTGACATGGCTTGGAAATATTCCTTTCCCTGAATTACACGAAATATTTCTAAACGGTTCATCGTTGCTATCAAAAAAATTAAATAGAATGTTAGTTTTACTTATTCAAAGGTATATCAAAGACTCAAAACGTTTTATATATAATTAAAAATAATTACTGTAATAATGTACCAATAAGTTAACGTATTCGTATGCATTACAATGAATTTTGTAAATAGATGTATATATGTTTATGTTAGTTAAATTAAAAAACAATTCGCCATATTATTTTATATAAAAGTTTGACTGATATTTTGGGAGAAGATTCATAATTTGTTATAAATTGTTCTTATCCCTTTGTAAAGAATATTTTTGCAATAAAATATGTTTTGATGACGGGTGAACCCCACTTTTAACACAGTGAAATGAAATGAAATGGGGTTTAAACTCCTACTGTTTTGCTCCGAACTGGGCTAATGAAGACGGGCATACGCCATACAGTGTGCTATGAGGGAAATTTTGCCCGGACAGCGGCACTACGGCCTACTCTCATATCGAATTCCAACTGTCAAGGGATCTTTTACGTGCACGCCAATGTGTACACGGGACCTCGGTTTTTTCGTCTCATCCGAATGACTAGACAGCTGTCCTTGTCAGGCCCTCCGTCCTGCATCCCTGACAATGGGGAACCACGCCGGAAAATCGGGATGAACTTTCTTGGCCAATGCAGGGATCGAACACCCGACCTCCAGGCTAGCGAGCCAGCGCCTTACCCACTAAGCCACCATGATCCCCCCTTTGAACACAGAATATCTCCCTCGAGAATAGATCTCTTCCCTGAATGGCCGCCATATCAAAAAAAAATTAGTATACCACATACTGCGTTTCACACCTGTCATGGAAGCGGAATAATTACTTCTCAAAAGTGTGCTTAGTTTTTTCCATTTAAAATCGTCGACCTAGGCCTGAAAAATGAAATGGAGAGAGAGAGGGAGAGAAATGGGGTTTAACGTCCACTCGACACAAACTAGGTCATTTCGGGACTAACATATGGTTTAATTATATTTCAATAATTCGCTTGCATGTAGGTGTCTTTAGCAGTGGGAGGACCCGGAGAAAACCTACGAGGTTGGACAGGCGACCCTACTCCTTGTCACGTACAACCGGGGATTCGAAACCACGCCAGTTGACTCAATGACAGGCCTTATGATACAGCGCGCACGTGCTAACCATTCGGCCATCCAACCCCACGAAAAATGAAATGAAATGGGATTTAATGTCATTCGATTCTGCTGCGACGGGGCTAATGAACTTAGGAATTACAATATCGGTCAAACAGAGCTAATTGTAGACAGGTGGCGTATTTTTAATTATAACTAATTATAGTTGACATTTATATGATCATTTAATATATAACGTGAACTTATCTATATATAAATTAAGATAACTGAATCCGATGTAATTGTTCAAACTGTTTAATGTTCCTATATTTTTCATAAATAGTACGATTTCTCTATTTCTCACAATTATCAATTTCACCCACAGCTGTTGTGATCGATTCAAAATGATGATGAAGATTTTATGTGTTGTACTTACTATATTCGCTGGTAAGTTTATTTTTAAGATGCATTAATTTAAAGATACATTCTGGGAGATTAGATAAAGAAATGAAATGAAATGGGGTTTAACGTCCTACTGTTCTGCTCCTATACTGGGCTAATGAAGACGGGATTAGATAAAGAGCTGGTAGTTCTCTCTATATAATAGTCAAAATGTTGATAACAAAAATATTCCTGATTTTATAATATATATATTTTCCCCAAATATTGTATTACTAGGTGGTTTTGTATGTATAATATTATGCAATACTATATACTATTGTTTCACACAATGCTCCCAAACGCAAAAAATATCGGCCCGTGTGCAAAAATATATATAATATATAATATATACTTTTTTAGATTAGTCTATCTAGGCTAATATCTGGGCTTATTTAGACAGTGCAGAACAGTAGGACGTTAAACCCATTTCATTTCCATTTAGACAGACATTACTTGATTAGATTACTGTTTTATGTCAAATTACTCATTAGTATTACTTTATGTCTAAATTTTTGGCATTGGAAAGTTTAGCCAAATTTTACAAAATGTCACGTAAACTTTGTTGCCTTCTGCCAGAAATGTTCTTGTAAATATGTTACACTATAACTGGGCGTATGCTCACCCGTCGGACAGGGAATGACACGGGATTATACAAGATATTTGCTCAAATTAATGGATAGAATAAATTTTATTTCGTTCCTGTTATCAGGACGTTCATTTCTTATTTTTAAATAGCCCACAATGTCGATCAAAAGGACACAAATGTGCATTTGGCCGTTGTTGGCTTAACGAACCCACCAGATTAAATTGGCAGTCGTAATGATGAAATAAAACCAAGTACGAACAATCCAAACCATTAGACAAAATTCGAAGTCCTAAAACAACGGTATAGACAAAATAGTGTAATAAGGCAAAATAGTGTAATCAGCATATGGACTGTTCACCGTGTACAAAATACACGGCAAACAGTGGTAACAGGTGTCCGGACGAGTAAGCTTACCCTGCCTGGCGCCACACCCGCCATAGCTGCATCCAAACTATTAGGCGAAATCTCGGTAAAATAGCGTGATTGGCCAATGGACTATCGGTATGCAAAATGCACGTGATGAACAGTGTTAGCGATGTAGTAGACAGACATTATCAGGGAGATGGTATACGCGTCAATTAAATATATCTAGAATAATAGCCGAGAGAGACCTGTTATATTTACCAATCAAGTCAATATGACGGCCATAAAACTTTTTAAAGGTTTTAATAAGTTTAGTTCGCAAGTATCCCTGTAGTTGAAGCTTAGATGACAAATGCCTCGATCTACTTAAAAAATCAGAATAAAATGAACAAGCTCTCGCGTAATGAATAAGTTGAGATACAAACACTCCATAAGCTGGTGATATTGGAATGTTACTACTAATAAATGGAAAGTTAACAATCGGAAAGTCAAAGTCATCGCGTTTATCGCACAATTTAACACTAAGTTTATGGCAATTGTCAAAATCGAGACGCAAATCCAAGTAGGAAGCGTAATTGTCACCGTCAGTAGTGTTTTAATTTCGAGCTCATCAGGATATTTGAATTCTACATACTCACTAAATTTTGGATTATTCAGTGATAGAACATCATCGATATATCGATAAGTGAAATTAAAATGTCTGACTAATCGTTTATTTGATTTTACAAGTGCCTGTATGTAATCGGCTTCGTAGGAATAGAGAAACAAGGTGCACAGTTGGTGCCCATGGGGATACCTACCACTTGCTGATAAATTTCCCCTCCAAATTCAACAAAGATATCATCAATTAAAAGATCCAACATCTGAATTATCTTGTTGGCGGTGAATTTATTTTTGGAATTTATATTGTCGCTGGCAGGGCAAAATTACCCTCATGGCACACTGTATGGCGTATGCCCATATTTATTAGCGCGGTCGGAGCAGAACAGTAGGACGTTAAATCCCATTTCATTTCCTTGTCCGTGGATATATCTTGTGTAATTGTTTTGTGCAGCTCCCTATACTTACTATATACTACTTAATATATACGGGATCACGTGGCTAAGTGGGTAAGACGCTAGCTCGCTAGCCTGGAGGTCGGGTGTTCGATCCCTGCATTGGCCGAGAAAGTTCATCCAGATTTTCCGGCGTGGTTCTCCCTTGTCAGTGATGCAGGACGGAGGGGCTGACAAGGAAAGCTGTCTAGTCGTTCGGATGGGACGAAAAACCGAGGCCCCGTGTACACATTGGCGAGCACGTAAAAGATCCCTTGGCAGTTGGAATTCGATATAAGAGTAGACCGTAGTGCCGCTGTCCGGGCAAAATTTCCCTCATAGCACACTGTATGGCGTATGCCCGTCTTCATTAGCCCAGGTTAGGAGCAGAACAGTAGGACGTTAAACCCCATTTCATTTCATTTCATTTCTTAATATATACATGCAATTCAAAACGAACTCAGAATATTTTATCTTTGGAAATGAAACAAAATTTTCATTTGCTGAAATTAATATAACCTTTTTCCCAATTTTCTGGTCGTAATATCCCGGAAAGTGTCCAACAATCTGGGCCCCTTTTTGTGGACCCTGATTAAATTGCACCATTTACATAACGGTAAATCCAACACTGCAGAAGCAACATATACTGTGGCCCCTTTCCTTGGTGACCTAAGCAAATGTTTAGTTCGAATAATGTTTAATCCGAGGCTGTTCCTGTTATATTTAAAAATACCTGATTTTAATTTTTTCTTGCACTTTTTGGTCAGTCTCCATCTGGTAAAACGCGCCGGCCATTTTGAAATCAGTAGCATTTCATTCTAACAAATCCTATCAATCAGTATCCACGGGGGCGGACCTAAACAACCGAATTCACGCTGGCCGGCGAGTTTTACCAGAGATAAACCAAGTGTAGTAAAGTTATCTCTGGGGACGGGATTGCTTTCTGGTCTGCGGTGATGGAATGACTTCTATTTGATCCAATATTTGTATAGCGATTTCTACTAAAAAAAATCATATTTATATTTTGTTAATACAGTAAGCAAAGTCCAAGGTCTCGGCTGTCCAAATGGAGAACCAATGGCCTCTTGTGGAGATAATCCTTGTGCGAAACCTAATTGTCCTGCTAATCCAAATGCGAATTGTGTGTAAGTTTATTTTTTACTTAACTAATTTATACTCACTCGACACAAACTAGGCCATTTCGGGACTAACATATGGTTTAATTTTATTTCAATAATTCACTTACGCGTAGGGGTCTTTAGCAGTGGGAGTAAACCGGAGGACCCGGAGAAAAGCCACGAGGCTGGACAGGCGACCCAACTCCTTGTCACGTACAACCTGGGATTCGAAACCACGCCAGTTGACTCCATGACACGTGCTAACCATTCGGCCATCCAACCCCCTTTTTACTCACGAACTAAGCACTTCAACCCTTTTCTTGTGAACCCATGGAAAGCTATCTAGTATAATTACAATTTTCATTCTATTTTGTTGTTAGATTGTTTACTCCACTACATTTCAGTCTAAAGACAGTTACTTCCCTTGGCTTCTTCCGTAATGCGCACGAAATGCGATTGGTACAGAAGTCGTTAAGCGCCTATCCTTTCCAGTCATTAATTGTTTTATTTCGTTATGTACATATATAAAAATAAATATTTCTTAAAGTGCACATAAGATGGACCTGGAATTTTTGAGGTACATGTAGCCAATGGTTACTATATCCACTTTACGGCAAGTTCACACCAATCTGTTTGAAATTAATTCAGCTATCTTCACTCAAAGTCGCAAAAATAGACCTCCCGTAAAAACGAATCCCCTCAGACGCCAGTGACGTCACAGTAACTATTGGCTACACGTACCAAAAACATTTTTTGGCCATCTTATGAGGTCTTTAATCTTTTCATTTTTTTTTTGCTAATCACCTTGTAAATAAATAACTCACTTTGTGCATATAACATGTGATTGTCTCTGATATCACTTCGGTGATTGGAATGACCTAGCAGTCAAGAGTGTCGCACTTGTATCTCTAACTGGTCCGTTGTAGTTTCGAACCCTACTATCAGCGTATGTGTCTTTTAGATATGTGCGCCCTTTCAACCTCATGTGTTTACTCCGGGTACTCCGGTTTCTTCCCATAGAAAAGACCCCCTACGCTAATAAAATAAGACTTGTCTGCGATATCACCCTTGATGGAAGCGAACGTTAAACCGTAAAAACATTAACATTCGCCCCTTTTTGCGAAAGCGTTACCAGTGGAGGGGCAAAGCTGGGGCAAAGTCACGAGCTTCAACTAAGGGTAGGGGGGCCTCGCCAAGAAATTTCAGATAGTGTCAAACGAACGGACTTGGGAACTTCCACGAAGCCCACTCACGAGCGCCAAAGTAGGGAGTCCTTACGGAGTGTATGGGTGACCTCCCCCAGAAAGTTTTGAAAAACAGACCGCCAGAAATGCTGTCTGTGCATTCAGTGAGGCAGCGATCGAGATAAATAGATCCACCAGATACTGTCCGTCGCCTGATCAACGAAGTCCCCTTGGGAGCGCCAAAGTAGCGAGTCGTTGTGGGGGGTATTTTGAAAAATAGACTGTTGGAAATGCTGTCTGACAGTACTCTGGCACCGATTATCACCAATACTTTTTTTTATTTTCTAAAATTATTGGTGGGGGGGGGGGGGCAAACGGAGGGCAGACCAGATTTATGGGGTGAGGGAAAATGCCCCCTCCCCCTTGCCGCCGCCACTGAGCGTTACTAAGCCCGAGGCAAAGCTATGAAGGCGCTTGAATAGGCCATTAAACTGTATTGTTTGGATTTACTTACAGGACGAACTTTTGTGGAAGCGAGGCCTGTCTAGCACAATACTTTGTGAATGGCAACCGGGTTACATGTTAGTATTACTACAATGTAAGTATTTTAACGCAGTTATTCAGAATTGCACAGTTAATTCATTTAGGAATTTACTATTGACAAAGCATTAAAGGAGCTAAATCGCTATTCTTTGGCACCTAGAAATTGACACAATTGGGTCATAACGCATATAATAATGTAATATGAATGTATATAAACTGATTTATATTTAATCGTATCCGTTTTTACTCTAATTTCAAATCAGGGGTATGTTTAACCTCGTTCACCAGGTGGCTTTATTACAAATGGCGCTCGAAAGCATTCTGTGCCAATTCCTGTGCCAATTGTAAAATTTGTATTGTGTGTTAAATATTGGATATCAGAGGCCCATCTTTTAACGGTAAGAACCAAGCATCAATGCTGATTTAACTTGACTAATAAGTCGTGTTTGTAATGTCGAAGACTGTGGTAGTGTGCCCTGTGAAGCGAAAAATTTTCCCTTCAGAAAGTTGAACTCGACACGGCGAATGTGCACGCTTCTGTCTCGAAGTGATTTCTGGCTTATCACGCAGTATGATAACACTAAGCACAAGAGTCATTGGGTCTATAAATAGCCATCGCACGTGAAATTCTCTACACATCTATCAACAATTACAGTAATATTTTAGCTTTTTGGTTATTACAGCAGCTTTAGAAATTACGTTCGTTTTATTTTTTTTAACACTCGAGTTAGGCAAGAAAATGATACTAGCAGTAGTTTCATTTTACTTTTACAAGGTTCTTAAGACAATTGTTGAGTTGCTTAACGTGCGTGTTTCTAAATTCAATTTCTTGTACCAGCTTTCTGTTATGTTTCGTAAAAAAAAGTAGTCTTGATTATCCCGGCCTGTCAATTAGACGGAGAATGGTCGGTAGACTGGTTAAGCGAGACTAATTCCAAAACAAGGGCATGTAACCTATTTTTTACTCAAAAGTGCCCGGATGTTATGACCGACGCTCGTAACCATTTTTCAGTCTAATATCTATTGATGGTTAAATGTTCGTAGCTTATTAAGTACAATATGACCATTTATTTTGTGACTATAAATGTGCGAAACTGATTTAAGGCTTGGTATATATATAAATATTGTGATTTAATTGTCGAGATATTTGGAGATTTGGAGATATTTATTTATGCTGGGGCACCTTAACTGTGGATGAATACCTGACAACTCATCCCAAAGACAATTTATCTCAAGACAACTCATCCCAATATAAGACAACTCATCCCAAGTTAGAAGACAACTCATCCCAAGATATCAGCAATACTGAAACTCATACATAAAGATAAGGATATGTTATATTCTGACAAATTTCTATCAGACAATGATGTGGAAACAATCAGCACGACTGGGGCCAACATTTTCAGTCGCATGTATGTTTCAAAGAAGGAATTGAAACGTGTACGCTATAAGTATACGGAGCGCCCAAAACTTAAAACAACTTAAAATTTAAAACAACAATATCAATTTTATTAAAACAACAATATCAATTTTAAGATAACACATTTTTATAACAAAATCAGAATGATCTGAGTGGTCTTCAAAGAAAGCAATTTTATTAAAAGAAATATAACCAGATTTGTTGGTATGAGTTGTCTTATATCTCGACCCATCTTTTACCCTTTCACTGCGTATACCCGGTAGTACCGGTTATTATAAAATGTCGGTAAAATGCCCGTACCCGGTATTACCGTGTACTCAGTAAAGCCCTCGCTAAAATTAGTACCGTAACTGCAAGTGCCATCTATTGTATTTTCTATACACTAGAACATATTTCCACGTGTTTCAAAGCAGCAAACCGTAAAATGGCGGAGTGCATTGTGACAACGTAGACGATGCACTCTCGACGAAGTCGTGAATGACGTCTTGCTGACCAACATGTGGACAATTTCGAGGCGGGTGATACACATAATTCGTTTCCAGTTACTTGATAATGATAGTAGTCAGGACAGTGATTGGTATTATGAAGTGTGTGATTTGTTGCGCGACGTTCCGCCCATGGCTAGCTATGTCTCCCGTGCATGATGAACAAGCCCAATGTGAACACGATAGCCCTGTGTCTGCAGTAGATTCTGACAATAATTCTGATGTTGATAATAATGCTGGCCTGCTGGATCGTAAAATACGTAGGTAATTCCTGATTCCCGAACGTGTAGATCTATTGACTGACTATATTGATAATGATATGGGACTTGGGGATGAAAGTGAAAGTGAAAGTAAAAACAAGGTATTGCAATCCGCACGTGGTCATGGCAGCGGGAGACGTGATGCGCGTGTTCGCGGCGGCATTGCTCATGGCTGCTATTGATATTTTTGTTCATTTTATATATCTTTATCAAAATCCAGTAAAAAAACCAATATCTTTTAAGTATTTCATGGAGAAAAATTCGTTTTCGTGTTAGCTTTAGTGTGAAATGAGAAATCCAAAATGGCCGCCATGACGTCACGTGACTACATTATTATGCAAATTTCCAAAATTCTATTTTTTCCTCTTAGCCCAACCTCATGCCCATCCCAACAGACAAAAAGATTTTTCATAAAAGCTTCCATAAGTACTGCTTGGCATTCAGTTCCAACCTCCCTTTTTTCATCAAAAAAGGGTCTAGCACAGGCAGTGGATTTACGTCTAGCATTGAAAGTTGGGATGAGTTGTCGGTATACCCTGTGGATGATATTGAGTTAGCGACTTGCCTCCTTTAAATTTTTCATCAAGTCTTTACACAAATATTATTGTAAAACAAATTGTTAATTTTCTTTGCAGGTGAGTTCATACCTATTACCAGATTAAATGTATGATTGTCCATTCTACAGTTGCTTCTAAATAAATTGTGTTTAATTCGTTGTGTATTTTGCGTTTTTCGATGTGACAAAATATCATAGAAGTTTACAGTATACCCGGCTAATGAAAACGGGTATCTTTTGAAAATAAGATCATGTTGTTCGATAGCCATGAATTAGCACCAAAACATAAGGAATAAAAGACATTAAAATTGAAAGAGCGAGAAAAAAAGCTCACTGTTTCCGCATGGGGTTCCTCCGACGACTGAGCACCCCCCACCCCCAGAGTCATGAAATATAGGTGTGTGCTACCCTCCCCCCCCCCCCCCGCACCGATTCATTATTAGTGTTGTAGTGTTGTTTAATTCAGGCCGAGATGTGCGCCAGAAATCACCATTGATACCGCGAATTATCACGATCTCCATCTCGCTTTAACTACGTACATTTTATCAAGGCCTTCACGTAATACCTTGCATATTTCGGCACTAATTTCGATTGGGTATTCACCAAGCTTGTGACCCTATCAGATTCCCCAATCTCGCGCTTTCAAGTTCAAGGTTCATTCAATGTCAAGGTTTCCGTGGAGGTCGCGATGTCACAACCTCTGATTGGACGCTACTGCTCACGTGTCTGTACATAATATAGCTATAAGTTCGGGAATTGTGAAGTAAACAAGCAACGGCCAGATGTTGTGAAACTCGCAGTCGTTGCTTCAGGAACATGGTGCTCCCCCCCCCCCCGCCCCAAATAAAAAAGCTCAGTTTCCACATGGGGTTCCTCCGACGACTGAGCATCGCTCCCCTCCCCAGCCCCCAATCATGAAATATGGGTGTGTGCTCCACTCCCCCCACCCCAATAAAAAAAGCTCACTGTTTACCGCGATTTATCACGATCTTGTGTTGACCACCAAACAATCACGAAACAAGTTTCTATATTAATCACACGGATATGTACGCGACAAATGACATTTTATTTAGGACATAAATCTGATAATTAATTAATTGACAATGGCCGGATCATTGTAGAGTAGCGGGTCGTATGATAGTATCTTCATTCTGATAATTAATTAATTGACAATGATTGGATCGGTGTAGAGTAGCGGGTCGTATGATAGTATCTTCATACGCGTCGTCAAGCTTTATCAAGCAATTATAAAATGTAGTATTTACTAGTGACAGAAATGTGACCAGATAATCCGCCGAGTGATACCCATATTAGTTCTGCACTGCTAAAATCTCCTTCGGATTGTCATTTTTCATGTCACTCGAACGACTATAAACTCCTCGTTACCCGATTCAACGTTTAATTCTATGGAGTCGAAAGAGAGTGAGGGAGGGAGGGTTTAACGCCCACTCAACACAAACTAGGTCATTTCGGAACTAACATATGGTTCAATTTTTCTGCATCGTAAGATCTGTCATTCAGTCAACTGGCGTGGTTTTTATTCTCTGGTTGTACGTGACAAGGAGTAGGGTTGCTGGTCCAACCTCGTGGGTTTTCTCCGGGTCCTCCGGTTTCCTCCTACAGCTATAGACCCCTACGCGCAAGCGAATTATTGAAATAAAATTGTTAGTCCTGAAATGACCTAGTTTGTGTCGAGTGGACGTTAAACACCTTTTCTCTTTCTCTCCATCTCTTGATCACGGGTGTTTAACTTGGGCTATCACGAGAACAGTCCAGATAACTCAAATCAATAGGTGTTGCTGTTGTTTATTACAGTTTTAACGTCCAATACATTAAATATGATATAATGGAAAGGTTAATTTAATTAAATTATTTACACTTAATAACGTATGCAATAAAGTTTTATACTACGGAACGTTAGCACTGTGGGGTATAGATAGGGAAAGTTAAAATGTCAAAAATACACCAGAATAAATGCATAATTATATTTAATGAGCATCATTATATAGTTAATATTTTACCATATACGCATCACCGACGACGGGTGATCCCCATTACGCAGTCCTCTCTTCCCTGAATGGCCGCCATATCCAAAATCAGTTAACTATATTAATGTCCAAAAGAAAGTTTACACACTAAAAATATGACTAAGTTTTGTTTAAATCAAAAAATGTGATAAAACTACACTGAACATGTCTCGTGCGTCCAAACTCAATATTTCTAAGCAAATAAAAGGCAAAACAAATGGAAATTGTACCCAAATACCGCATACAATGGAAAAACGACTTTGTTTGAAGCAGGACAAAATGCACAGTGTATACTTTCTTTTGGACATTAGTATATTTTGTAATGCTGTTTCACAGCTGGCATACACACAGACTAAATAAACCGTTTTAACAGTATTAAATGGATGCAGAATAAATACTTTCAAAAATCTCGAAGTGTTCTTAGTGTTTTCGATGAAAGGGGCATTTGGTATAGATAAAGACCTGACAGTTCTCGCCATAATAGTTACAAAATAGATAATGAAAACAGAATACGCTGAAAATTGCAGGCAAATTGCTTCACTCGGAACCGCGATATTAGCGATCCATGTTAAGGCTAGCCTCGGTCAGCATTGCTATTAAACAAGGGCTTGGTTATCGTTATCCATTTATATTTTAAATTATCCATCCAAAAATGTATTTAAATCCACTAAAATCACAGGCTATCAATGACATCGAGATTTTATTATGGCCTGGATAAGTTAATTAATGTCTAATTAATAATTTATATAACATTTAAGGGCTAAAGAAAGACTCGCAATAGGAAAGTTTAGCTCTGGCACAATGCTTGTCTAATCATTAAACATGAATTGGAAAGGGGGTTTAACTTCCTACTGTTTCTTCCCTACTGGGCTAATGAAGACGGACGTAAAATGAAGTTAGGAGAGAGAGAGAAATGGGGTTTAACGTCAACTCGACACAAACTAGGTCATTTCGGGACTAACATATGGTTTAATTTTATTTCCATAATTCGCTTGCGCGAAGGGGTGTTTAGCAATGGGAGGAAACCGGAGGACCCGGAGAAAACCCACGAGGTTGGACAGGCGAATGAAAAAAAAAAAATGAAATGGGGTTTAACGTCCTACTGTTCTGCTCCTATACTGGGCTAATGAAGACGGGCATACGCCATACAGTGTGCTATGAGGGAAATTTTGCCCGGGCAGCGGCACTATCGCCTATATACTCTTATATCGAATTCCAACTGCCAAGGGATCTTTTACGTGCATTCTAATGTATACACGGGACCTCGGTTTTTCGTCTCATCCGAAAAACCGAGGTCCCGTGTATACGTTAGAATGCACGTAAAAGATGAGTTAGGAATTAAACCATCGGTCCAATAACTTATAGGACAATATTGGTGTCAGTCATTATCACATATGTGATATAACTAATTAAACACGTTCCAAGGAATTATTACTGATCAGAAATTCGGCCGTGTATCTGTTATCACTCGTCACATCAGTCAGTCATAGAGGGATGACTCGTGTTTTCCTTTGGCGTTCGTCACTTCCGATTCAGGAAATCTGTATTACTCAGCTATCGTAGCAATGATCTCTGTGTTAAAATTATATTCGGAATGTGTTTAACCAGCTCTATCACATATGTGATAATGACTGCTTGTCCTTTAATGGCTGTTCTCAAGCAGAGCCAATTGTTGACAAAAATGAAACTGGGTTTAACATCCTACTGTTCTGCTCCAATTGAGCTAATGAAGACGGGTATACGCTATACAGCGAAATTTTTCCATGGGATCTTTTACGTGCACGCGTAAGTGTACACAGAGCCTCGGTTTTCGTCGCATCCGAGGTTTCTGGGCGAAGTTAGCGAGCAACCTCTTACTCACGGAGCGACCGTAGCACACGGGTAAAATGAAAACAAAAATTATTATTTAAACATACATTATGCAAGAGCTAAATCTGCCTATTGCAGGTCTTTCTTAAGGCCTGAAATGTTATCTAAATTATTAATTAGACATTAAATAACCAATCCAGGCCATAATCAACACTCGGTGGCATCGGATTTCTCCGATATTAAATAGATTAGAACAGTTCAGCCATATTTTGATTGAAGCTAAAAATGGAGGAGCGAGACTTAGCTTCGATCAACCAGTACGGTGGTTGAAATTATTGCACACGTCTTGTCAAAACTTCAAAGGCGAATATCTTCGCTCGAAATAGAGTAATTTGAATGAAATTTTCAAATTATTCATTTTACGTTATCTATTTTTGAACTATGATAGCAAGAATGGCTAGCTCATTATCTAAATCTTACATAATGTATCTTTAATCTAGTTGGCAAAATAAAGTGCTCGAAATCTAATTAAACACTAATTCAAATACTGAATACTGAATTGACTATGGATTAAAACAAATTGTCTGGAGCCACTCTACTTGGGCATCGATTATTATTTGCAGCTTCAACAGTCTGATTGGAGTTTGGGTCGACAGTGAGTGGGATTTCGGTTACTTAACTCTAGGGCATTGGCGTCGGTTCTATTTTCCTAATTGTCTCGGGGAAAGCGAGGCCCGAATATCTGGAGACCACCGAAGGTAGGCTATTTTGGACCACATTGAAATTGCTGTGTTTCTCGGCTGGAATAACGGGAAAATGAGCTTGCGCCAGCTACAGTTTCAAAATTTTTTTCCGACAGGAGGTCGGGTGTTCGATCCTTGCATTAACCAAGAAAGTTCATCGGGATTTTCCGTCGTGGTTTCCCCTTGTCAGTGGTGCAGGATGGAGAACCTGACAAGGACAGCTGTCTAGTCATTCGGATGGGACGAAAAACCCAGGTCCCGTGTATATATTGGCAAGCATGTAAAGGATCCATAGGCGGTTGGAATTCGATATAAGAGTAGAACATAGTGCCGCTGCCAGGGCAAAATTTCCCTCATAGCACACTGTATGGCGTATGTCTATCTTCATTAGCCCAGTCGGGGCAGAGCAATAGAACGTTAAATCCCATTTCATTTCATTTCCTGATAGGCAGCGTATTTTTAATAATAACTGATAACAGTTGACATGTATATGATCATTTAACGTGAACTTATCTATATATAAATTAAGATAACCGAATCCGATGTAATTGTTCAAACTGTTTAATGTTCCACATTTT